TCTATACGTAGAAGTGGAATATACCGTCTATGCCTATGAGTGAAAGTGACTGTCTATACCTATTACTGGAAGTGACTGTCTATACGTTTGAGTGGAAAATACCGTCTATACGTATGAGTGAAAGTGACCGTCTTTACCTATGAGTGGAACATACCGTCTATACCTGTGAGTGAAAGTAACCGTCCATACGTATGAGTGGAAGATACCGTCTATACGTATGAGTGGAAGAGACCGTCTATACCTATGAGTGAAAGTAACCGTCTATACCTATGAGTGGAAGTGACCGTCTATACCTATGAGTGGAAGTGACCGTGTATACCTATGAGTGGAACATACCGTCTATACCTATGAGTGGAACATACCGTCTATACCTATGAGTGGAACATACCGTCTATACCTATGAGTGAAAGTGACCGTCTATACGTATGACTGTAGGAGACCGGGTAATCTACTTTGACCTTTTACTTATATGCACTCGTCTCTGTCATGATAGGAAGGAGATGTGGACGACTGCTGTAAGAACTTTGATAGCGTAGACACACTCAACAGAAAGCTGCACCCGGTGTTAGAAGACCTGCGCAGACGACCCTTTTTCAACTTCTACAAGGTGCGTCGTGGGAGGGGCAGGGGATCACAAAGTTTAAATGTTTAGTTTGTGTTATAAGTGTTAAATCTTCAACTTCTACAAGGTGCGTCGTTGGAGGGGCAGGGGACCACAACGTTTAAATGTTTAATTTGTGTTATAAGTGTACCTTCTTCAACTTCTACAAGGTGCGTCGTGGGAGGGGCAGTGGATCACAACGGTTAAATGTTTCAATTGTGTTATAAGTGTATGTATTTTATGTGTTAGTTGTGTATCTTTTATGTGCTAGTTGTATATCTTTTATGTGCTAGTTGTATGTATTTTATGTCCTAGTTGTATGTATTGTATGACCTAGTTGTATGTATTTTATGTCCTAGTTGTATGTATTTTATGTGTGAGTTGTATGTATTTTATGTGCTAGTTGTATATATCTTGTGTGTTAGTTGTATGTATTTTATGTGCTAGTTGTATGTATTTTTTGTGTTAGTTGTATATATTTTATGTGTTAGTTGTATATATTTTATGTGTTAGTTGTATATATTTTATGTGCTGGTTGCATGTATTTTATGTGTTAGTTGTATATATCTTATGTGTTAGTTGTATATATTTTGTGTTAGTTGTATATATTTTATGTGTTAGTTGTATATATCATCTGTGATAGTTGTATGTACTTTATGTGTTAGTTGTATGTGTTTTATGTGTTAGTTGTATATATTTTATATGTTAGTTATATCTATTTTATGTGCTTGTTGTGTGTATTTTATGTTTTAGTTGTATATATTGTTTGTGTTAGTTGTATGTATTTTATGTGTTATAATTGTATTGTATTCTACATTCAATTCGTTTGTATTTCATGTTCTAATTCTATAAATCCCCCCCCCCCCATTTGCCAACACACACACCCCACACACAGACTAACGTATTCAAAACGTGTCCGTTCTGGGCCGAGTCGGGCCAGTGCGACCGAGAGTCTTGCGCCATGCGCGAGTGTGTGAATGAAGAGTTGCCTGGTGCGTTTCAGCAGAACAAGTACTACGACGACAGTCCTGTGTGCTGTGAGAAATGGGTCGACCACATCGTCGCCAAACTGCCTGAGAGCGCTCGCCACACCATAGCTAATCTCATTGAGCATGAGGAACAGGTGTGTGGGTGTGGGCTTGTGTGTGTGTGCGTGTGTGTGTGTGTGTGTGCGTGTGCGTGTGTGGGTGGGTGGGTGGGGGGAGGTGTTTCTGATGTACTTATTCACTTATCTACTTTTTCTCAGTCAGTTTCTTATACTGTACGCCCCACGTTCATAGCAGGGTTTTAAGGTTTTACTATTTTAACCCTCGAAATAGTTGAGCTGTGCTGTGGCTGTGGGTGGATCGGTGTGTTTATGCATGTTGTTGGTGTTAAGTAACGATGTCGTCGTGTGCCCACAGTCGCGTATGTGCACATGGCTGCCTCATTGCCAGAGACTCGCATGTTGGCTGCTGGTGTTGTGATCAACTATGAGAGTGTTGAGCAAGTGCTTTGTTGCGAGAGGCACTTGTGCGTGTACACGCGCAAGTGTCAGACTGTTGCAAGTGTGTATACTATGACTCATCCGCCCGTACGTAAGCATTCGTTGTTGTGTGAAATTGTTTAGTCGTGCACTCATGTGGGTAGCGCCTTCTGTGTGCGTACACACACACACTCACTCACGAGTTGTTGTATTCTTGCTCATTACGTCACAAGTCACGCCACTTAGAATCCCTGATAATATTCCATCTTATGACAAACACTTACTATACAAACTCGCCACTGGGTAGTTGGATCCCTTAACTCAACATTCACGTGTATGTGTGCATAACTCAACATACACATGTGTGTGTGCATATAGAAACTATTCTGGGAGATTGGGGACAAAGACGAGTACAAGGCCAAAGGTGAAGTACTGCAGCCTACCTGGTACAACCTTTTGGAAAACCCTGAACGCTTCACAGGCTACATAGGCGACTCGGCTGCAAAGGTATGCACATACGCTTACTAATGCAATATGGGGTATTAGAGAGTGTTGTATATATACATAGTGGTTTTTAAATATGTGTGTATGTGAAGTTTGTCGTGCATATAGCTGTAGCGAGCAACTGTCGTGTGCAGTGGAGATATGCCATTATATATATATATATATGTGTGTGTGTGAGTCTGTGTGTGAGTCTGTGTGTGTGTGTGTGTGTGTTTGTGTGTGTGTGTGTGTATGTATATATAT